CTAATTTAGTAAAACTATGTATTTTGTAATAAAATAATTGATGCATAAAACAATTATATTATTTTGTTATTGTTTATGATAAAATAATTAAATATTTTTAATACAATTAGTATTGTAATTCTTTTTTCTTCATCAGAGACCAAAAGGTTATATTTATATAGTACCAAACATTTAACTGTTTTTAGACTATTTTTACGAGAAACAGATAAAATTTCAGTAATAGAATTTATAATTGTTTGGTCATATAAGTCATTCAGTTATAACAAACAAATGTATGTTTTATATAAACGTGTTACTGTAAGTTTATATGATGTTCTTAGACGTCTTTAAGAACAGTTCTGAAAATGTCATATAAACACATACGTTTTTAAAATACAAATCTGAAAAGACGTCAAATAAAAATGTCATTTTTCAGGAAATGACATGAAAAAAATATTAACTGCAACATTTCATTTTAAAAGCCTTATTAAAATGTCTAAAAACATTATATAAACTTATTGCAATACTTTTATATAAGATATACATTTGTTTAATATAATCGAATGATTTAATAGACCATACAATTGTATGTAATATATGCATGTCCATTTTCTACCCTATTAAATAGAACAAATGGTTCCATGCAGGGACGTTCCAATCTTTTTGGAGGCTCTGCTGCATCCAAAACTTTTTATTACATTGCATAAATGAGATAACAATGAATATATGTTAAGAACAAAAATAGACTAAACCTAAAACGATTAACAATCTGAAACTAAATCTAAACCATTAATTATTTGAACCTAAAACCAAACAATTAATGGTTTGGATCTAAATAATTTTGGTTATAGTTTTACACATGTCGATAAAATCCCTAAAACACATGTAAATTTGGGCCCCAAAATTTCGGGGGCCCTGTTCTAAATCTCACATTTAACATACTAATGGACGGCCCTGGTTCCATGAAGACCCTTGATGGAGTTTGATCTATCTATATAATACTACTGGTGTTCGACTCCGTGCGTTGCGCGATGATCAAATTTTATGTTGACGAAAAATGTAAAAAAAATGTAAAAAAAAATAAAATAACATTAATAACATTGTTCAAAATAAATCAACACATAAAACTGATAAATCAACAATCACCAACGTAGTGGAAGATTCAGGATAATCCAAGCTCATCACTGTAATTTTTTTTTAAAATAGAAACAATAGATATATAAAATGTATCAATAATGAGATATTTATATTATTATTAAAACAGGTAAGTTAAATAATTTTCATATTAAAAACCAAATAATATGATCTTTTTTAAAATTATAATCATCTTAAAAAAAAACGATAACATATGATTAAATGTAATAAAGTATTTATATTTATCACCATTATTACTTTTTTATAATAAAAAAAAAGACGTAGAAGTCTTTACATTCTAAAGAGGCTGTTTGGCAGTTGCTGAATGGTCTGGTACAGAATGATTAAATGGTCGGAATGATTAACAGCCTATCATGATATAATGCAAAATGAAATATAATCGTCTGATAATTGTTTACAATGAAATTAGGGTGCTGAATGGTTAAGGGAGACCATGGATACAAAATCATTCAGAGGGTTTTAGAACCATTAAAAGACAGCTTTATTTTTTGTCAAACAAGATTCACCTCTTAATGATTCAAAGACTGCTTCTTAATGGAACTATTAAGAGTTAAACAAACAACCCCTAAGATTTTTTTTTATCAAGTATCTACCTCCTTTCTGGTTTACTCACTGATTTCTTTGCTTCAAATATTTTATTATTTTTCATCAACATTTAATTGATTTTTACCTTTTTGGTCGTTTGGATCAAAATTTGCATTGATGCATCTGCCACGTGAACACCATTACATAGATTGTCAAACACCTTTATTTTTTCATTTTTCATGTGTAAAGGTGATTCATCAGCTTCATTTTCTAAATCGATTGTCTACGATACATTTTTTTTACAGGTATCAATCTAAAGATTGAAGCAAAACAATGTTGGCACTGTTAAGTTGTATGAAGCATAACAGTAAATTCACAAAATGAAATCAATCTAGTTTTGAACATGCTTCAAAATCATTGAAGGTCAAAATTACAAAATAGACAAAATCAAGAATACATTGAAATTGAAGGAGTACTCAAATGAAAGGCTTACATGTAATAATAATAATAATAATAATAATAATACTGGTTTTCATAAATGACCACAATACAGAGACTGAGATAAAAATACAAATTGAGAAACTTTATAAATATAAAAGATGGAGAAGGAAATTCATAATAGAAAAGCTCCACATTAGTCATACTTGATCAGATTCTGATTATTATCAGTAAACAAAAAACAAAACTTGAGTAGCTATAACAATATTTGCAAAACAAAAGTAGGCAAAATAAAAAAGACCCATATAAAGAACAAACGTACATAACATAAATAACTTCCGCAAAAAATGAGGGATGAAGAACCGTAGTGAATAAATATAATAACAGAGATTTTTTTTTGAAAAAAAAAACATTCATCGACATCATATAACCTACACAAATCTTAAAATAAAATTTAATAACTGTTAGCCTAGAAAAATTTATGGAGGAATAACATTAAAGCATGTATAATTAGGGGTGCTCAAAAACCCGACCAACCCGATCAATCCAACCCAACCCTACACGAAATAACTCAACCTGAAGCAACCCGATGTCTAATCGAGTTGTAAAAGTGTTAAACCGTAGGTATTGGGTTGATATTGGGTTGCTATTATTTGAATCCAACCCAACCCGATAAACCCGATATCCTTTTATTTCTTGGATTTAATATAATTGTTGAATTTCTATTAATATGTACATTAGACAATTACACTATCATGTATGCTCTTCATATATACATATTTTCAATCTATTCACATCTTTATATATATATGTAAATTGAGAAAATTGTGATATACGTAAGAAGTATAGATAAGTTATATCAAATGGTTGATTATGAAAAAGAAATTATGAGTAGAGAAATAACATATTCTAGGTTAGAAGAATATTTTAATTTACCAAAATATCAATCCGACCAACCCGTACGGGTTGGGTTATGATTTTTCAAACCGCAAACATTGGGTCGGGTTACTCAAATGTCTTCAACCAATCAACCCAACCCGTGAGCACCCCTATGTATAATAACAAAGTTCTGCAAAAGGGTTTGGGCTTAGGTTAGGAGTGTGTTGAGTATGATTTTTTTTTCTTGTTTATCGCTTATTTTTCTTTTTTATTAACCATAGGTTGCGTGCATCTTGACTAATCTCATGGGCCCTGGAGAACAGTTAGAAAAAATTTCGAGTGTCCTTTGAGGGAATCGAACCACTGATCCTCCCCTCAAGGTTATGATTCTTGTATTTGTTTGAAAGATTATAGTTTTTCTTTTTGAAGTATATAATATTTATATACGGTAAATGCAACAAATAAACTCACACACCCTCCTCACCTATGGTGAGGTTTGAACCCCTGACCTCTTAGGAGGCCAAGGGCTACGATATCGCTAGGCCAAAAACCCTTTGGTAAGATTATAGTTCTCGGGTATCTAATTAGTCAATTCCTACCAATTTACGTGAAGATGCATAATGTCTCATTTAATATAAATTTATTTAATTATGTTTGATTTTCTGTCTGATGATGTGTTTTCTTAATTGGTGTACAGGAAGGGGACATGAAATTTGGGGACATGAGATTTTATTCAGTTGAAAAGGGTTATGATCGCCTCTTAAACCAATCCAAACAAACACAATATATCCAACATGAAAGTAGGGTCTGGATAAAGGCGATCATCTTTTTTTTGGGGGGGGGGGGGGTTGATAAGCTGTCTTTACCTACCCTATGAACATACCGAGCTTTTCAACGAGCCAACGTGCGGGCCTAAAGAGTCGTTACCTTTTAATTAAAAAAAAATTGTATACAATTTTGCTATATTTTCACAAGTTAAAAAAGAAATCAAGACATTGCTTTCCTGCTATAATTTATTTTTTGGGTAAGATTGTAATATATCAAAATGATATCGTATGCAATAATATATCTGGTAAGCGCTTATCCGGGTAAGAGTCGTTAGCCTCACTTACCGGGTAAGACTCTCTATCCTTATCATCGCTCTTACCAGGTAAAATTCTTGGACCTTGCCATGTTCGTCCAGTGAGGAAAATTGCCCGGTAAGCACCTACTAGGTAAGCGTTTAGTAAACAGCCCCTAAGATGTAAAAAACATTTTCTTGGTGTCAAGGGTAAAGAGGATCCTCTGCTTATTAGACCATTCAATAAAAGTATACATGTTTTTTTGTAATGATCTTTTTGGTCATTTTACATACCATCCAAGCGAAATCTTAACTTCGCTTGTGAGAAGAAGAACCTAATTACCGAGAAAGAAGCAAGTGCTTGTTTGATCAGATAGAGGGACGATTAAACGAGAATAATGATCAAATAAGATAACTGAGAGAACCATTGATTCACATATGATTTTACATTGAAATCACATGTGATTATGGGTGACCTTTGCCGCAACCTGGTCATCGCGTCGTGAACACACCTTTGCACTGGTTGTTTTTCATAATCTCATATGATTTTAATGTAAAATCACATTGATTGATCATTCTAGTAATCTAGTGTTCTTTTATTCGGACTCTGTTTTCGTTTGAACCAGTTTTATCGGACATGAATTTTTTTTATTCTTTAAACCCACCCATTAATTTTAGTAGTCTAGCCCGAACCCTGGACTCACCCAATTTTTCGAGAATGGTGTCTACAATTTCTTTTCTAACAGGCCGGACAAGCTCGGTCTAGCGAGACATTTTACCCATGAACGGCTCTGGTTATTTGTTAAATATTGATGACGATTAGTGAAACTTTGAAAAACCATGGGGTGAATATATGATATATCACATAGTCGAGGGACGTATAATGAAATTGGGGAAATTTTCGAATTACCATAATACCCTTCAACGGAGTAGTTTTAACATCTTCCCATTCATCAGGGGCAGCGCTTCTTCCCTGTCATTCTGCAATCTGGACTTTCGATTCCGCGTGGAGAAGACGACTTCCAACGCGGAATTCGAAAGCTTCATCGATCTCGATACATCAAATTACATATTCGTTTGAATTCTCAGTTTCGTGTTTATCGGCAGCAAGAAATACGAAGAAATCGGTTATAGGAAGTAATGGGAACGCCGGCGTTCCCAAATCTAGGTAAACATTGCTCCGTTGATGATTGTAAGATCATTGATTTCCTTCCCTTCACCTGCGATTGTTGCAACAAGGTTAGTTTTTAACTCTTTTGTATTTTTATTTATTTATTTATTATTATTGCTCTTTAATGTTTTTGTGAAATCGCAAAATTGGTTGAGAAGTATTGCGTTTTGGAAGTCGGATAGTACTTTGATTATTGGATGTTATACTCAATTTTCGTTATTTCTGAGTTATGAATTGTATTGTTTGATTGTTGTAATTGATAATTGTATGCTTATTTTGAAATTCTTTGTACCTTTGTTGGACAGCTGATGTTTCCTTTTTCTGTTTGTAGATTACAGGCTTTCAAAATGTACAGATGAGATTGAGATTCAGTTTTATTTTTGTTTAGGATTGGAACCAACATTGATGAGTACTTAGATGTAGTTTTGTTTGACAGTATTAGAGGGTATAAACAGGGTTAAAATCACATGAGTATGGGCATAAAACCTTAAATTTCTTTGCAATTATCAATGAATCGCTCTGCTGACACTCATTAGCTGAAACACGCCATTGGGGCGCCATAGAATTGAAAATTTCTTGCCCTCTTAGCTCCAAAGCGCTTCAAATTTTCATGATTAAAGGGATTCCTTGTCAACTTTTTAGGTTGCATCAATATTTCGAGAGAACCAATAACGACATTAGACATTACCAAAATAACTAAATATGGGTTGATTTTGATTCTAAAGTTGTACAAGGGTTAATATTAACTATACATTTGAAAATACATCAAAATGTACATCATTTTCGCGGAGAAAAGGATAAGTTTCTATGGCTAGGGAAACGAGAGATCAAGAGGAGCAAAATTATGGAATATATCGGGTTTTCATGATCTCGAGGTTCATAATCACAAGTCATTGGATAATTAGTGTCTTTATTGTGAGTTTTAGTCCCTATTTACATCGTGTACATCATTTATTTGCTTCTCAATTGACCAGCAGCCCAAATGTGAATATGATTTTTTGATAAAAATACCAAAATGAAAATGAAGCTAGCTCCATTTTTTGGAGAAGAACACTATTACCCTTCACTTATCAAAGAAGTCACTTGTATTTGGCAAATATTAGGAGCTGTGCATGAAGATTACTCCACTAAGACCAAAGGGCCTTTGGCCTATTGATATATGAGCCTCTTGCCTCCTAGGAGGTCAGGGGTTCAAACCTCACCAATGGTGAGGAGCTTGTGTGAGTTTATTTGTTGCATTTTCCGTATATAAAATATATCATATACTTCCAAAAAAAGATTACTCCACTAAGTGCGAAGAACTTTGCATCTATGTCCGACTATTTTATCAATTCCTTTGCTTTGAATGACCAAAAACTGAAAGAAAATTATAGATTACTTCTATCAGCACTTAGAGAGATTAGTGCTTATGAATCTATCTAGGGCTGTAGTCATGATGGCTTATCTAATATATGCGAAGAACTTTGCACCTCAATCCAAGCTCACTTGTCAGCAAAACCCGGAACAAATAATAGATTGCTTGCAGGAGTGTTTAAAGAATATATTGCATCTTAGGATGTTTCTGGGGTTTTAGCCTTGACTGCTTATTAACCTTAAATTACTTCAAGTCAAGTGACACAACCTCTATAGCAGTAAGATGGAGTGGCTCCTGGTCAACAGATTCAACATCTTCCACATATCTCATATCAATCTCCTCTGGTCTAATCCTTCATTTTATTGGTTTGAGTGGTCATCATGATAACCAATAGTCAACTGCTTAGGTTACAGTGCTGTCATGGATATATAACTTATAAGGTGGACATCAAATGAGGATTTGAAACATAGTAGTTTCTTTAAGATAAGGATATCGTCAGTTTGGGTTTGCTTTTTCCCTCTTTCTTGAACATGATATTGGCCCCTTTGACTGAGATAGTTCATGTAAAGGGTCCCCTCCACATGAACCAGATAAAATTTAGGCCTTCGAGAATGGCTATGGTTCTCAAGGGACAAGACAGGAAAACTTGTTCCTTTAACAGAACTGACTTGGAAAACCTGAAGCCGCGTTTGGTACATGGGACAAGACAGGATATGACAATACAAATGCTTTTTGTCCCATGTTTGGCTCAACTTAGGTGGGAAATAACAAGACCCAAGTGGGACGAAAATGCGTTTTTTCTGTCCCACCAAAATACGTGGAACAAGAATCAGAGGATAAGACAAAATCGGTAAATTATTAAACTAACCATTCACTAAACTAAAATGCATTTTCCACAATTACCTTACTCTCGCACGTCCAGTCTTGTATGCATACCAATTACCAAACACACCTATTTTCTATACTAAACTTGGACTAATTAAAGGAGGCTCACAATTATTTACTAACAACCCAAACGAATCCACATTGTCAATAGGTATAGTTCTTATAATTATCAAAACTTTTGCAGGTTTTTTGTCTAGACCATCGGAGCTACATTTCACATCAATGTCCAAAAGCCAACAAGAACAATCGCACTGTCGTCATCTGTCCGCTCTGCGCAAAGGGGGTTCATTTAGTCCTGGACCAAGACCCAAACATAACATGGGAATCTCATGTTAATACAGATTGTGACCCATCAAATTACGAAAAAGTCACCAAGAAAAAGAAATGCCCTGTCCGTGGTTGTAGAGAAACCTTAACGTTCTCCAACACAATTAAGTGCCGTGATTGCACCATCGAACACTGCCTTAAACACCGGTTAGGACTCGACCATGGTTGTCCTGGGCCAAAAAAACCCGAGCCATCTTTCCCATATTGGGGGTTCTCAAATAGCACAAAACAGACCCATGCTCCAGTATCATCTTCGTCGTCATCATCATCATCAGGGTGGACTACAAGTCTCCTTAGTGCAGTCTCATCCCTTATGATCAGTAACGATAAAACGGATGGAGCGGGTCCCAGTGGTGGGGCAAGTAGAAATGGTGGAGGTGCGAGCGGCCAAGTGGAGCAGTGTCCAATATGTTACATGAAGTTCTCTAAGGCTGCAGCCTTGATTGATCATGTGCAGAAGGTTCACGAAAAGAAGGGTGTGATGAAGGTGACGATAGACGTGTGTCCAAAGTGTAGCAAAGGGTTTCGAGATCCCATGGCGCTGGTGCAGCATGTTGAAAGAGAACATAGAGGTATGTCTCAAGCCTAAAAGATAGAAGCAATTTGTGTTCTTATTCCTCTCTTTTTTTGGTTTCTTGCCATCGAATATACTTGTAAATCGAACTCGGGGTTCTAAAATTGAATTTCAACACATTTTTTGTTGTAAATTTGTAGCAAAGGTTGTTTTCATTTGAGTTTCTTGTGAACCCTACATTAGTGTTTTTCTGTTTGTGTTTGACATTTGATGATAGTTTACTGTAATAATGGTTCCCACATAAGCTAACAGTTGTTTGGCGTGACAACTTCAACTATGATTTTAAGTTGATTTGAAGATTATTGGATCAGTCTACCGTTGAAGGTACTAAAAACGAGTTTGATACTGACGTTTATTTACCACAATAGTCAATCTCTCCGACCAAATGCATTTTCTCAATCGAATTTCTATTCTAACCAGAGTTTACGCAAATGCCTTAAGTTTGTGTAAACTTTATTTCTAGATTAATTTTTTTTTTTGCATAATTTGCATATAGATTTCTTTTAATATGAAAATAGGTTTTATGTTTGTGTACACTCTTGCTAAAATAGGAATTTGATTCTAAAAATGGATAACAAGTGAAGGTGGTTGGAGAGATCGACTATTTTGATCAGTTTTACTCCGATAATCTTAAAACAGAAGAAAATATGGATAAAATTATAATAAAGTGATCATTTCTTTTTCTTTTCTTTTTTTCTAAATGATCGTGGCCTGCACGAAGGAAAATTTAGAAGAGTTGTTATTTGTGTATGGGAAGTGTTTGGCACAATGAAGTCATGTGCCGAAAACAATGGCTGGAAATGGAACATAGTTTATAAACGTTGTTTTTATAATTTATATTCTAAAGTATTTTAGGGTGATAGATCTCCACTTTAATATTATCGGAACATAGTTTATAAACGTTGTTTTTATAATTTATATTCTAAAGTATTTTAGGGTGATAGATCTCCACTTTAATATTATCGGTCATCAAAATAGATTGTTGATAAGTATCGTTTATCTGTCTTCTTCCTCACTAATCGGGGAATACTCTCGGGTAAGATTATTGGCCCTTGCGATTGTCACCTGGTAAGGTAGCTGACACCAGATAAACGTTTTTACTCTGGTAAACATTTGGTAAGCAACCGAATTCTGATTTATAAGTGTCGTTTTTAATAATCTATTTATATATAATCTTAAGATTTAGTGACTACTAAACTGCATAACGAGATGCTGGGATATGTTTCAAAGTCATTATTGTTTGTAGTTTTTATTTACCTTTTATAGATTTTTTGACGTTGTACCCTACAACAGAAGCCCGTGGTAAAAGAGTAAAAACTTATAAGACTATAGGAATATGAAGATATTAACTATTCAAAATAGAAGACAAATTATAACCAAACCGGTCAACACAAAGGGTTATATATCCGAGTAGCTATCAAAGAAGAAATTTTTTTATGGTCGGGTGAAAGAATTCAAATAGAGAAGATGATAAAATGAAATGTGAGAGATGTTTTAACACCAGAGAGGGTTCACGTCACACGTTATGTTGTAACAGCTAAAATCAAATGAACTGAAAGTCTAAATACATTTTGAAACTGAAAGTCTGAACTATTATAATATCAAACTTCTGTGTCGTATCATAACACCTTTTTTTTTTATTAACCTGAATATCCAAACCGTTATACGAGCCGACTAATATCATGGCGACCATTTGCTTTGCAGATAGTCCGGAGTCACCGCATTTGAACCTCCGTGACCACAAGGGGATTTTTATTTCTCATTGGATTTGAACCTAGGACCTCCTGGTACTTTTGACCTTTGGAACCAAGCTCAAACCAATCAGACACCACATTTGTGGTTATCATAACACTTTTTTAATTGAGGAAGTTACATTTCTCCTCACTCTCGCTCCCTTTTAGCTTAACGGAACCCGAGATACATATCGTTATTAGTTTATGCTAAATGAGGTTATGATGAAACCTAAACGATTCTCAAACACATTTAATGTAAAACAAGCATACTCGCTGACTTGCTTTCTAATAATAATAATAATGCTTGAACATTTCATAAATCATGCAACGGTTATTCATATAATACAGAACAACAAATTTGTAAAACTCATTATGCGTATGCACCGAACAAATCGTTAGTATGATTTAAGATTATCTTGAGCAAATTTTATGTAATTAAGGTAGTAAATAATTAAAATATTATATAAAAAATGATTGTTATATGACCTTAGATTCTTATCTTAGTTTACTCTGTCACAAACTGAAGGGTTGTTTGTTTATTTCGTAATAGTTTTATTAAGAGACAACATCTGAATCGTTAAGAGGTGAATCTTGTTTTGCAAAAAAAAAAGTTTGACTCTTAATGGTTCTAAAACCCCCTGAATGATTTTGTATCATGGACCTCCCTTAGCCATTCAACGCCCTAATTTCATCGTAAACAATTATATTTCATTTTACACAATATCATAAGAGCTTTTTAATTATTCTGATCACTTAATTATTTTATACCAAATCATTCAGCAACTACCAAATAACCCCTTGAATTTGATATTTTACATTTATTTCAAGATAACTTAGAATAAAAGTTTTATTGTAATTTATTAAATTCATGTTTTAAATTTTGAAAATCAAAATGATTTTGAAATTTGAAATGGAGGCAGTTTCTAGAAGATATGCAATGATTGAGGGCCAAATCTAGAAAATGGAAAAGGAAACCAAGAAAATGTAGGCTTCGCCGGCCGGCCAGGACACCAAGTTTAACGGTCAAAAGTATTTCAAAACATACATACAGCTCATATGATCTTTCGAACTGGGTCCCGCCAAATCTCACGGCTGAAACCCTCCTTTGGTAAAATCCAACCGCCATGGGAGGTACCATGATCACAATTTAACTCAAACCCGCTTCGTCATTCCATTAGCTTTTGTTTTAAAAATTAAAAATCATTCACTAATAATGTGGAATTTAATGAATTTTAAAATATGGTTAGACGACCGGCGGATGTGTAATAACTCATATATACAGAGAGGAAGAGAGAGGGGAAGAGAGAGAAAAGGGGGATGATTTTGGAGAGAGAGACGAACAAGGGGAAGGGTGGAGCAAAATCTGGAGATTCGATACATTGTTGAAGAACTTTAACGTGGTTACAAACCCTCCCAGCCTTCCAGCCTCTGCTCTTACAGGCATCGACTTGAAGGTTAAAACAATCCATTATTCAATCAATTTTTGATTGTTTTTTCGTTAATTCGGCCACCCATTTGATTGGATCGCTTTTTAATTTGATCTGTGTTGGGATTTTTTATTGAATTGAAACGAATTTCTTATGGATATTTATGCACACCACCTGTTTGATGAAAAAGATGATTGAAATTGAATAACGTCAATAACTTATTTTTGGTTGTGATGGGTTTTTGGAGGAAGAATTGACCGTAATTAATTTACTAATTTGTTGTAGGCTGGTCGGAGTCGGACATTGGTTGAAGTACCAAACTTTTGTAATTTGGTGGCTTTTCCTTCCCTTCTCCTTCATCAAGAAACTCACATTTAAGAAGGGAAGAAAGCTCAAACCTTCATCAAGAAACTCACATTTAAGAAGGGAAGAAAGCTCAAAAAACATTCTTGAAGGAAGTGGGGAGAAATTTATTGACTTATTGCTATATGTTACCGTCATTGTATATATAGATTGGTATATACAATGAGTGCTGTTTCCGGGGTAGTATCCAGGCAAGTTTTGCCAGCATGTGGAAACCTTTGTTTCTTCTGCCCAGCACTGACCACAAGATCTAGGCAGCCTGTGAAGAGGTACAAGAAGCTGATCTCGGATATTTTCCCTCGATCTCCGGTTAGTTCCTTAATTCTTTCTTCAACTTCTGAAATATTATTAGATGGGAGTTGTTGATGTTGTAATTTGTATCTTGATCCAATGGCATAAACTCAGAAGTTTTTGTTTGTCATGAAGTAAGAGACTTACTCTGTTATAACTAAGTTAAGTTTCCTCATTTCAAGATATCAGAAGGAAAAGAAATTGAAAAACTTCCTGGTTTTGTAACCCTTGTAGTGTAAAATGCCCATTACTGAGCATTGAGGTTGACTTTTCCAATAAAATAGTTGTTTTGACGTCTATTCACTTGGAGAAGTTGTAACATTCCAATGGAACAAGACAATAATAAGTTGAAACATTCTAACATGTTCTATTTATGATCTCAAAAAGGGTGAAGAAGTGAATGATCGGAAGATTGGGAAGCTCTGTGAATATGCTGGGAGAAATCCTTTACGTGTTCCGAAGGTACATGTTTCTGATGTAATTTATGCAGTTTTTAATTAGACTAACAACATGTTTTGTACTAATTATGCAATGTAGTCAAATTGTTTATTGTAGAACACATGTTTCACATAGCAACTCATTAGGACATAATCATGGGACTTATATTGATTGATATGTATGGAAAAGCTAACTCCAGTCTGTATCATAAAAGAACTAACATAACATCTATCTTTGATTTAAATCAGCATGTGAAAGAAAAACTTATTCTTCATATTAGTAACTAATTTTCCCAATCTTACCTCCAGATCACAAGTTCTCTTGAGCATCGGTATTACAAGGAATTAAGAAACGAGAATTTTCGGGCTGCAAAAATTGTTATGTGTATTTACAGAAAACTATTGATCTCGTGTAAGGATCAAATGTGAGTTCATTCATACCTCTTTAATCTTGTATACTTTCTCAATATCTGCATTTATGAAGATATCCATCTAGTGACGACTTGTATGATTTCCTTTTATAAACGGTAGCTTTCTTCCTCCAAGGCAGAATTTTAACTCTGAATTTGCTTATGCATATATACTAATGTCCGTCGATCGCTTCTGTCTGCATGGAGGATACTTCGGCTGTGATCTACTGAATCTAACCTAGATTTCACTTGGGTCATTGCTGATGCCAAATAGTCATTTTGGGTACTTTTGGCTCATTGGGTTATTTTGATGATATTTTTCTAGTTTGTTTCAGAGTTCTTAGGAGGTATCTTACTTTTGTTATTACTATTTAAGAGTCCCCAGTGTAGAAAAATTGCACAGATGAGATTATGCATGAGCAAACACACAGCAAATGATTTATTAAAGTGGATAACAACTTCCTGGAATCTGAATCAATTACAGGTGCAATTAGCATCTCTTTATTTGTATTTATCTGGTATGTCTTGAACCGGAGAGAGAATTTACGAAATGACTAGGTATACTGCAAGCTATCCTTGACTCTCTCAACCTCACAAACTACACTAGTCTATGCACCAAAGAGAGTCGTAAAAATCATGGATCAACCTATCTTATTGAAAATAATAATCAACTAAACCGTTATTTGCACCTGTAGCTAAAGGATAGGGTAGCAGACTAGGGTGGGAAATTGTAGCTACCATAGACGGGCTTGGGAAGTAGAGGATAAGCGCAGGGTTAGTGAGTCGGCACTTAGGCGTTCAGAGTCCTAGGTTAGACTAGGGGAGTGTAGTTCTTCTTACCTTGGTTATGTTTTCTTGTACCCGCTTCTGTTGCTATTTTTTGTGTGTTTGTCTGATTGTATGTCATTGTTTACTTCTCCCTTGATCGCTAAAATTTGACCTACATGCCTTTCTTGTTTTCAAGTTCTTTTTTAAGAATGTTCTTATTTTCTACTTCCATGGCCCCACTCAAACTAGCTGCCCTGCCACCTTAGAATTATAAAGAAGCATTTCTTAAAAAAAAAAGTATCTTTTTAGCAAGCTTTCTCTTTTTTTCCCGCACAATTTGCACAAGCTAGGGGTTTTCACAGAAACAACCGCTCTACTCTTTGAGGGTAGAGATTGGGTCTGCGTACATCCCACCCCTGACCTCACCTGTGGATGGGGTCAGGCTCATTTGATTTATTATTTGCTATCACAAGTGCCAATTCATATTGTAGCGAGTATAACGTGTTAAATTTTCAATTAAAGCACATAGAAAAGGAAATATAAAACTAATAGTCATGGTTGTTGAGTCGTCCAAGCTCTCATAAGGTTGGGTAGATTCCGATTAACAGAGAAAAATCAAGTACAAGATAGAAAGAAAAGGTTAAAAAGTTATAAAGAAAGGTCCCAACTCCCAAGTTGGTTTAGATAGATTAGAATAGCTCCGTATGTAATACATAGCTCCTGGGATATATCCGAGTAATTAAGAAGTAAATCCTCATCAAACTCAGCTGATTTGGAATTTACGAATTGCACTGCCTTGGAATATGGGTATACTGAAGTGGCCGGATGAACATACCCCTAACTGCCTGCTTGGTTCTGGCACACATGCCATTCCTGCAGCCAAATATATTTTGATGGCATAGTCGGTGGAAGGAATTTGCGAAAAAAGGTGATTCTTTGGGTCTGAGAATGGAAACACAAACAAAAGAGAGAAGAGAAGGAATCAAGATTCTGCCATGGGAGAGGAGAAAAGAAACGAAAAAGGAGCATAGGTTTCAATGAGTTTGTGAGAATGGCTCTGATAACATAAAAAATCTTGACCTGTCAGAATGAACTTTTCTTTTCTCTGATTTCCATGGAAAAGAGGAGATACAAATATATAAGAAAACCTTAAGGAAAGGAAACAAAGAAAAGATTACCTAAAATAGGTACAACTAAAAAGAAAAAGGCTAAAATACATAAGCGGAACCAAGAGGAAAATATGTAGACGGACCCCTAATAGACAACATACTCGTAGTTGTTCTCTGAATTTCTTCTTATATCCAAGCATTAAGCCTACACAATTTGACCGTACTGATGTACCTTTATGCTGCTTACTCCTGGTCCAGATCCTTAGTACATGCCATACACATACATTAGTACAGACTTCTAGCTTCTCTTTGTCTGATTCCTACAGCTTCCTCCAAATTCACTAAAGATCCCCAAGTTATGCTGAATTGCACGTGAGCTGAAAATAATATCTGGAACACCAAATAAGCAAAATGCATCTAACGATAAAGAATAACAACTTAATATATCAAGAACATGCAAATTAGCGACTCAATCAGGCATGCTCCTCATGGTTGGTTATACGACATACGTATACGTCAAGTATGGACTGAACTTTTCTATTCTATTTGGTGATCGCTGATCATGTCCAAGTGAAGATAAAGACTTCTACTTTCTGCAAATTTATAGCTGCTAAATATCCATTTGAGGGGGATGCTAGAGTTCAGTTTATCATTATTATTTGGATTTTTCCTAACACATAAGTTTACAGGACCTTCAAATAAAAATTTAGTTCTGTTTTGGTTAGAATGGGAGTCTATGGTTAGGTTTTCTAAAGTCCTGGTTCTGGCAGTTGCAGGCTTTGAATTGTCCTCAAAAGCCTATATATTTAGGCATGGTATCGTGAATTGAGTTCTTGACTACTCGTTAAATTTTCCAAGACTTATTTGGCAGATTTTTTACAGAATGACTGTAAAAGCATATTTTAACCAAGAAGATTACATTTGGGTTACCAAAGGGCCTTTGGCCTAGCAGTATCGTAGCCCTTGGCTTCCTAGGAGGTCAAGGGTTCAAACCTCACCAAAGGTGAGGAGGGTGTGTGAGTTTATTTGTTGCATTTGCCGTATATAAATATTATATACTTCAAAAAAAAATTACATTTGGGTTGTTAATGTTATCAATGCCCATTAATAAGTGAACGTTGTTTCCTTTCCATGCATCTTAGCACCAAAATAACTTCTGTCTCTGTATCAGGCCTCTTTTTGCAAATAGTTTGCTAAGTATCATGCACACGCTGCTGGATGAGACAAGGCAGGATGAAATGCTAATTATTGGATGCCAAACGCTCTTCGACTTTGTAAATTGTCAGGTTGGTGTTGTTGATGGTTCTCGGATTATTGTCTTAACCTTCAGCAACTGTATCTTAAACTTTTTGTATTTTTCAGAAAGATGGAACATACATGTTTAACCTGGAAGGTTTTATACCAAAACTCTGTCAGTTAGCTCAAGAAGTTGGTGAAGACGAGAGAGTGGTGCCACTCCGTTGTGCTGGGTTGCAAGCCCTTTCTTCAATGGTGTTTTCATCGCTTCCTCCCTTTCTCTTTGTAGTACTTACGACTCTTGTGTATCTTTTTTTAATATTTATTGTTTTTCTCTTTTTCTTGTTGGTATAATAGGTTTGGTTCATGGGTAAATATTCGCATATATCAGCAGAGTTTGACAATGTAAGCATGAACGTTTGCTTTTCTTCTCTTGCTAGTATCAATAGTGTAACTTGTTTGCCTGCTTGACTTATTCGTATCTTTCACTTGAGAAATATATCTAGTAATCTTCTGTGCTAAACAAGAATAAGGGGCAATACTGTAAGTTTTGAAGCATATAGTATTTATATACGGAACAACTCACATGCACTCCTCAACTTTGGTGAGGCTTGAACCCTGGACCTCTAGGGAGGTTGGGCTCTACCTATAATGAGGGTACCATTGGGTCAATGACCCTTTGGTGTAATATTGTAAGACTGACATGAGTAGTATATTTTCTCGTGTATGAAATATTAGAGTTAATAGTATATTAATGTATTTCTTTCGTCTCCATTACGTAGATTGTTTCTGTAGTTTTGGAAAATTATGGAGCTTTGAGCAAGGAGTCTGACAACCCCAATCAAAGTCGGTGGGTACAAGAAGTGCTGAAAAATGAGCATCATGTCTCTCCATCAGAAGCGTTGATGAAGATTCCATCCTGGAGAACAATTGTAAATGAGAAAGGCGAAATAAATGTGCCTGCGTAAGTTCCTAATGAAACAAGATCCTCAGTTTTTCATCACAATCCAATGGATGTTCTAATTGTTTTGCTTTCTGTAGGGATGATGCCAAGAACCCTTGCTTTTGGTCCCGCATGTGCCTCCATAACATGGCTAAGCTGGGGAAAGAAGGTACAACCATGCGCCGTGTGCTGGAATCTTTATTCCGTTATTTTGATAATGAGAATCTATGGCTTGATTCCAAAGGCGTTGCCTTCCCGGTTCTCAAGGACATGCAGATTATTATGGATGAATCCGGTATTCATAATAAGTTTATTATATTTCACTTTATTATACTCACTTTTGGTTAGATCATGAACTGATATTCCTGTGTTATTTTTCAGGACAAAATACACATTTTCTGCTTTCCATATTAATCAAGCATCTTGATCACAAAAATGTCCTTAGAAAGCCAGATATGCAGCTTGGCATTGTAGAGGTTACCACCTCACTTGCACGCGAAACAAAGAAAGAAGCTTCAGTCGCGATAGTTAGTGCTATTTCTGATGTTGTTAGACATCTTAGAAAAAGCGTACAGTTGGCACTTGATGACGCAAACCTTGGAGCAGATGTAATCAAATGGAACAAAAGGTTTCATGAAGCCGTGGATGAATGCCTTGTGGAGTTATCATCAAAGGTACCATACATTTTATTTATCATAGAGTAGCATTAACTTCTGACAGAGACGGACCTAGATTTTTTTTTCAAGTGGTAGCCGTGGATGAATTCCTGCGTTCGACTCTTCTTATTGCCTATTTTTCCAAAAAAAATTGAATTAAAGATTGAAAAATAGCGAAATTTGCCAAACGCGGATTCGACCCGCACCTTGCCGAAGGGCAAACCTTAACACGGAGATGTACAATTGTACACCAACCCTGCTACCACAAACTTCCGTCTTTAGTTTAGTTTCAAGAAATATAAGGGCATACAAGATATAAAGTAGGTGCACCTTTAACGCCCCTAAAAAAATTTCCACTGAATCGGGATTATGGAGCGGAAGCATGTGCATCCCTCGTCTCCATGTAGGTTGACCCCTGAAACTAGTCATGTTTGGTAAAACTAGTTGATAAGCTTGATAATAATGTAAAATAACCTAAAAGGACACACTGAAAAGTTAATTGGAAAAAATAAGGGGAACCCTTGGAAAAAAGCCCTTGGAGCCAGGGACGGACCTACTCATAGAGTAAGGGTGCACGGGCACCTGCTCGATCGTCCCGTCGTAATAGAAAGTTTTTAGTGGTCGTAATTGTGCACCCGCTTAATTTTGAAGTGTGCTCTTATATGTTTAGAAAACATAACTTGAAATAGGAGAGTGAGGTTGTTGGAATGGTTAGGGCACTACTTGTCTTCCTTAAGGTCATGGGTTCAAATCTTTTTTACAACAATTTTTATTTTTATATATTTAAAAAAAAGACAAACAAATATACAACAAAATAATTACCTCAACTATAAAATAGCCAAGTCTTACCAATCAAATACAACTATTTTACATTTACAATTGTCTCAATCTTACTTCTATTTCTTCTTTTTTAGTATTTTTCTTCCTATTTACCCATTAATCTTAAATTTATTTTTTGTCTCGTTCTACATGTTTATCCTAAATAACTTGAAAAGAAAATAAAATTAATTATATTTAACAATTCATACTTTGTATGAATTGTTATTTTTTGTTTCTTGATGTCATCAAACATATTTATGTAAGAAATTTATAAAATTATATTTTTTTTGTTGCATTTGTTGACCGTTACGAAATCAGCCAAAAAAATACACCGTAAAGGTGGAATTCGGCCGAGAACACGCCGAGTGTAAGACGTAGTGTTGCGTCTAGCTCAAAAAGTGAAGGTCGGTTTCATTTGTAAAAATGTATTGTATCAAATCGACATAATTGAATTTTCCTCGGGTCAAACCGTATTGACTTTTCCCTGGGTTAAACCGCTACTTTGTTGGCCCTTGATTGACCTTAAAGGTGCACCTGTTCAGAAAAATTCCTGGGTCCACCACTGCTTGGAGCTTATATGCTACTTGAAGTAGCTTTCCAGCTTATGGCTTTTTCAGTAAGTTAAAAAAAAAAGTTAGCTTATGGTTGCCAAACATGGCCTTAACTGAAAACAGAAATACTCATGAGCCAAGTTTGTTTTCCATTTGTCAATGTGTTTTGAATCTATCTTGATCAAATAGGTTGGTGATGCGAGCCCAGCTTTCGACATTATGGCCGGGATGCTGGAGAATATCTCAAGTGTTACAGCCATAGCAAAAACCACAGTTGCTGCTGTTTACCGCACAGCTCAAATTGTAGCTTCGTTGCCTAATTTGGCATACAACAATAAGGCAAGAACACATATACTAATATCTCTGCATTTATCATAAATTCTGCTCCTGATTATATTAATTAGTGAGATTATTATAATCCCATCTTAGGCATTTCCAGAAGCGCTATTTCATCAGTTGCTCCCCGCGATGGTCCATCCAGACCATGAAACCCGAGTTGGAGCTCATCGCATCTTTTCTGTTGTTCTTGTGCCATCTTCTGTTTGCCCTCGGTCAGGTCCAGGCATCCCTCCAACTGTTAGTGATCCCAACAAGGCTGCAGTTCCACGCTCGCTATCAAGAACTGTTTCTGTCTTTTCTTCTTCTGCTGCCCTTTATGGGAAGATGAAAAGCAAAGTTAGTCATGATAACAAAGTTCAGGTCTCGGGCCAAGGGGAACAAAGACCAAATAACAATAATAATAATAATAATGGGCCATTGAGCAGAATGACATCGAGTTACAGCCGAGTTTATTCCAGGAGAGCAGATGGTAATTCTGCAATCAATTTAAACAAGGATGCGGTAGGTCTTTCTTGCACCCTGCCATCTTAGGAGGCATATCAGCTTTGTTTGTTGTATAATGCGTTCTCTTTAAATTTCAGGAGGCAGTTACCCTTAGGCTCAGTTCTCACCAAATATCCCTCCTCCTGTCATCAATTTGGGAACAGTCCAACTCGCCTGAGAACACGCCTGAAAACTATGAAGCAATTGCTCACACCTACAGCCTGGTGTTGCTATTCTCTAGAGCAAAGGTAATAGATTTTAATGAATTTCTTACTTTGAAGAGATCTGCATTTATGCTCCGTGCTTATCGAACTACTGATTCTGGAATATGTGCAGAATTCTGGCCGGGAGGCTCTAGTTCGAAGTTTCCAGCTGGCATTTTCGTTGCTTGATATTTCTCTTGCCGAAGGAGGTAGGCCTGCAAACTATGCTCTCAGATAGATAGCTCAAGATATGAATAATCCTATAGTCACCGTTAATGATCTACCATGTGTTATTACAGGACCCCTGCCACCATCACGTCGGAGATCTCTTTACACATTGGCGACTTCTATGACAATCATTTCTGGGAAAGCATTTAGTATTGTCCCTCTTGTTCCAATTGCAAAGACTAATCTTGCTAACAAGATGGTAGGTTACTTATTATATCTACAAGTTTCATGTTCGTATTTACTATTTAGATAGAGGAGGTTCCTACACACACACACACACACACACACACACATATATATATAGAGAGAGAGAGAGGTTCAGGGAACACCTCAAAAAAAAAAATTTAAGGAACACCCTGGTGAACGTTCATCTAGACGGGTATGCACATGTGCATAATGGTAATTGAAGTTGTTTCTTGGTCTTTATGCACGTGTGCATGTGCATATCAGACTAATTGCTTAAAATTACCAGTATGCACATGTGTATACCGTCCAAATGAATGGCTACGAGGGTATTCCTCAGTTTTTCATTTTTTTGAGGTTTTCCCCTTAACCTGACCTATATATATATATATATATATATATATATGTATATATATATATATATGTATATATATATATGTATATATATATATATTTGGTTTGGGTGAAGCATCGCGTGAGAAGGGAAGTTATGGTGAGAAGCGTAAGAAGAGATCTGAACCCTTGATCACTTCTAATCTCATGCCCACCCATGAATTGCGCTTTAGAGGGGAATTGATCCTGTGCACCTCATTAGTGTTGACATTCAATTAGGATTGATCCAAGGGTGGAGATCTCTTCTTACGCTTCTCACCGAAACCCAATCCTATTGGTTTGATGGCCCGTGTCTAGCCGATGAGAGACTCTAACTAGCCCCCTCCAGCAGAGGCTAGACGATACTCCCAAGGACAGAGGCGAAAGCGTGTGGAACCTCTATGAATATCTCTCTAAAAGAGCTCTTATAGAGATAGAGGAGTTCCTATATATATATATATATATATAGAGAGAGAGAGAGAGAGAGGGGGGTTTGGTGGTTCGTGTCTAGCTGATGTGGAACTCCACAGTTATATTTTAGTGTACACAATAAGTGCTTGTGGTTTGTTATATGGTGCCAGGTGGATCCATACTTGTGTTTGGTTGAAGATTGCAAGCTGACTGTGGTAACTGGAACGCACACTATTCCTTTTGGGTCTAAGGAAGACGACAGGGCTGCTCTAAAATCCCTTTCAGACATAAAGCTCAAAGAGGATCAGTCAATGGAATCAATGGCTGCCACAATCGTCAAGCACTTGGAAACTGTCTCCGAGGTAAATCTGTTATGCAGATATATATTGTTTGAGGAAACAAGCTGAAAGCACTTGAAACTGTTTGATTCCTATTTTGTGTAACATACTGTCAAAACATTTTTATTGTGACATCTCAAACATTTAGGTATGTGGATTACATATGAGAATTGCATGAAAATGTACGTACTTTGGTCCATATTCATATTTTTGTAACATACTTTTGTTTGAGATATCACATCTGAGATACCAAAATGAAGGTCTTGGAAGTACGTTCTGCAGAATATGAAGCAGACTAAAATACGTTGCATTTTCATCAATATTCCCTTGTGCGCATATATATGTGAAACAATACCTTAAATCATGACATTTGATGAAAAAGGATCATGTAAAAAATATTTTAATAAACTGGTTCTCACGGGTTTGTATCTTTTTTGTGGTTTTCATTTGCTTATATATATATATATATATATATATATATATATATATATATATATATATATATATATGGACTTGGTTCAGAGGAGAACCACAAAAAAATGAAAAACTGAAGAACACCCTAATAACAGTTCATTTACTTGGTATGCACATGTACATGAAAATAATTTGTCCGGTATGCACATGTGTATAAAATGTACATGTGCATAGAAACTAGGAAATATTTCAATTACTTTATACACATGTGCATACCCAATAAATGAAAGGTTATTAGGGCGTTCCTTAATTTTCCATTTTTTGTGGGTTTTCCCCTAAACTTGAGTCCATCCATACACACACACACACACACACATATATATATATATATATGTGTGTGTTTATTGTTTTGAGGAAACAATCTGAATGCACATTTGATACTCACTCTGGTGTTTATAAAAATCTTGTGTTGCAGTCCGAAATGTCAAGCATTAAGGAGCAATTGCTAAATAGATTTGTGCCAGACGATGATGTATGTTCCATGGGCTCCCCGTCAGCAAATACATTACGGAATAATTCAGAAGACTGTAATTCTATGGACGATGTAATTCCTTTGAATGTTATAAGTTTCAAATTTTAAAACGTACCATGATAAACGATTTTAAACATTGCGTTGATTTTTCCCAGGATGCTCCGCTTTTCTTCATGGATGATGATCCGCTTGGAGATTTAGTTGACAATTCCAACCGGCTTTCAGTAACATCACCTGAAGCATCAGACTTCTTGAGTGTCAATCAGTTATTAGATTCAGTAAGTCTTTTGGTGTGTTTTTGTTTCATTTATTGATCATATTCGACAAGAATGTCCATGAATAACGATATAAAAACATCATATTTGACAGGTCTTGGAGTCTGCACAACAAGTTGGAAGAATGTCTATAAGTGTTTCACCTGAGGTCTCATACAAAGAAATGACGAATCAATGTGAGGCGCTAGTAAATGGAAAGCGGATGAATATGTCCAATCTGATCAGTATACAACAGAGGCACATTAACCAAAATGATGGTGAAATAAACAAGCAATCGACAGCCTTCCAAAATGGCACAAGCTTCCAATCGGTACGGTTTTTCTTTAGCACATATGAATTGGCACAAAAACTACATATATGCATATTGGTTTGCTATTTGACCTCTATTTATGGGTTTCGGTTGCCTAGTTACTTCCTAATCCTCAGTTGCAATCTTTCCTTTTTGGGAATTTCCGATAAAATAGCGATATTTCCTTTTAGGAAGACTTGGCTCATATTTTATATTTTGATAAGCTTGGTATCAACACCTACGTATGCTCGGAGAGGTGTTATGTAGAGCAGGTTGTGTTTGAATAAATGGGGGTAGTTTGGGGAATTAATAGTAGTTGTTGCTTTCTGTTATGTTAGTTATAAGGAAGTATAAGTAGAAGGAGATTAGTTTTTTCCAGGGGCGGACCCACCATGGTGCATACGGTGGCATGGGCCACCACTTCGTTTCTCTGTCACAGTGTAAAAGCTTTTAGGGTCGTGAAAGGTGCCATTGTATTAGTTTACACGGTGCAACCTTATATTCCTTAAAACTTGAATAATAACACAAGTTTCTCTTGGTAGAGTTGGTTTGCATGGTCTTTTCTTCCCTTCCAGGCGCGGTTCAAATCCCATTCGTATCATTTTCTTAGTTTTTATCTTTAATTTTAGGTTTATTATGTTTTTAAAAAAAAAATTGGGATAAAAGAGTTGAATTCAGGACCTCACATACAAAAAGTAAGAAACCAACCAACAGACCAGTGATGAGCTTTATTTTTTATAGCCAAATGGTGCCACCACTTGAAAAGAATTCTAGGTTCGCCTCTGGTTTTTTCTCACTTTTGCTCTTAATTACCCAATGTGGGATTTACTGGTTCTAATATAGGATTTGGGCCAATACTGACTGCAACTGCTAATTCCTTTTTAGAGATTATAAAAAGATTTATAATCTTTCTGGTTTTTGTTCTATGTTCATGCGGTTTATTAGTTCTCAGACCTCACTTCCATGCTCCACCCTATTTTATTCAAATTTATGCAGAAATATTTTCATATTAAATCCGTATTTTGGTATTCGATCGTGTGTTAGCAGGCGGGCAATCCTTCCTTGGAGCAAAACGCGCCTCCTGTTGTGAACGGGAATGCGCCCACATCGCGTACAACAATGCAGTCATTCAGGCTACCTGCATCAAGCCCATATGATAATTTCTTAAAAGCTGCCAGAGGTTAATTAAGTAATCTTTTTGAACCACCATAGAACAAGCTACCAAACCTACATTTTGTGTCAACTTATTCATAAATGAATGAATATCCATCGCAATATTCATTATGAATACATCTCAAAATGGTGAAAATCGCACAAATGATATGGTTTTTGAAGCTGGGCGTCCTGAAACCTCGTGCTTGCATGCTGCATAACGTAAGGCGACAAAATCCGGATCGCTTATTTTGGTTAATTCTCCAAAGCAATTTATTCATTTTTCCCCTTTTGCCCTTTCTTTAGATCTTTTGATGTGAATTGTAATTTATGTATGTATAGATGTAGTTTACTACTGTCAGGAATGGAGAGCTTTAAGCATTTTGGAGAGTTTCCTTTCAACTAGAAAAGCAAATTGTTGAGGGATCAAGTATTCTTTTTCACCCTTGAAGGTTAATGGAAAGATTTTATTTTTTGGGATGAAATACTACTTTCATGAGTTATGAATCATAATTCAAGGAAAGGGTATTTTTGTCTTTTTGTGTTGCAGACATATTGCATGCACATGCACATATACATACACACACCCATGTATACACATATTACCCATTACATAATTTTTGAAATTCTTTCACGAAAATAGCTGCTCTACCATCCGGTAAATATTGGTCATAGGAGTCGGATATAAGTATTTCTTGATGAATCAGAAAGGGTTAAAGACGATGAATTGATCGGAATGAGAGAGAGAGAGAGAGAGAATATAGAAGTTAATAACCAAAAGGGCCCGAATTGAAAACTTCAAAACTCCTTACTTGACCGAACCCAATGGCTTCAAGACGAGAACAACAAAACTCCTCGCTTGACATAATCAAATGTTTCAAGATAAGAACATCAAACTTCTCTCTTGGTCAAAACAATCAATCCTCATGCACGTGAAGCAATAAAATCACTATTTTCATGATTTATATTTGGAAAACCAAATAAGCCCAAATGATACGTATTTCCATGTAATTATGCAAACATTTGCATAAAATATCCAAGTAACAATGAACAATTGAAAAGTTGGGCAAAACTCGAAGTAGTTATGCAACATATGCACATGATGTTCAGATATAATTATTCAATAATCAGAGTTGGATTAATTTTCCAAGAACCCAATGAACAAGGTCCAGTTAACCAAATGTCAAAAGTACCAGGAGGTCCCAGGTTCAAATCCAAGGAGGAATAAAAATCCCCTTGTGGCCATGAAAGTTCAAATGCGATGACTCCATGCTATCTGCAAAGCAGATATGGTCGTCCTAGGATTCGTCGGCTCGCGTAACGGGTTGGATATTCAGGTTAATTAAAAAAGAGGTTCAGTTAACCAAAATTCACGACTTATAAAACCACTTTAATAAAAGTCTATATAAATCAATTAAAGACGTGTTTCCTCAATATTTAGGCACTCAAATGCACCAAAATAGAAATGAGTCAAATACGTCATCCGATTTCCGGATAAATTATCTCAAGATAGAAAAAAACGAATGATTTGGTCCATAAAATGTCCAAACAACTCAATACCATACATTTTCCAATGCTATAAATAATAGCACACAATAGTATCATAGTGTAGCCTTTTTCTGTTTTCTAGTTAGTATATATTGTAGCCTCTTTTCTTTGTAACCCTACTGAATAAACTCATATAGGTATGCAGAAGATGGAGGGATAGTTTCGTAACTTTTACAAATATGTGTCAAACGGGTTTATATGTGAACCCATATGATTCACATATAAACTATATGTTCATATGTGAACCCGTTAATTAATTCATATGTAAATCACGCGGGTTCATATGTGATTCGGTTAATTAGTTCATATGTGAATCACAAGGGTTTATATATAAATCATACGGATTCATATATAAAAATATAGTTTCATATGTAAACCACATAGGTTCACATGGTCGTGGGCCACAACCAAAGTCGTGTGAATCAGATAAATAATTTTACACGTGATGTTAGTGTAAAAATCATACATAATTTATTAATGCTTTTATGAAATAGTTATATATAGATTTTATGAGGATTAAAAGTAGTTAAATGCTTTTGAGTTGTATTTTTCTATTATCAAATTAGTTTGTTACATTTATTTAATAAATAATATAATTATATATTTTTAGGTGGGTTTTCGTTTTTAATTACCGACCTGTATATATAAACCTTATAATTATCTCTACACTTTTTTCTTTAATCTGGATATCCAACTCAATATGCGAGCCAACTGATATAAAGACGACCAACTGATATAAAGATGACCGCATATTTTGCAGATAGCCCGAAGTCATCGCATTTGAACCTTCATAACCACAAGGAGATTTTTATACCTCGTTAGATTTGAACCTATAACATCCGGATATTTTTGCCCATTGAAGTCAAACTCGATCAAAATCAAAAACCTTCCTATCTCAAACGGCGAAAAACCATCAATACTCGCATAATCCATCTGCTCCGGTGACAGCCACCGCCACATGCCGTGGCATCTCCATCACCACCCTCGTCAACCCCAAACCTCTCATTCGTTCTTCACGATACACCTCCGCCGCCAGCCACCCCAAGTCCACCACATTTGCACAAGTCCATAGTGACGCACCAGCTTCTCGACGTCTGCATGGATGCCGACACCTGTGAAGCTGCAGCTAGGGTTATTGAGGAAATCGATGAGAGAATGAGGGATGTAGTGTGCGTTGATGATCTGGAAGACGGGACAGCGGTCGATGAAGCATAGTTGTATGATGGCAACTCGGTTTTCAACGGCCGAGAGGAAGCTACGTGTGTCCACCCCACGTCAAGGCCGACCTCTGGACGGTGGTCCCAAATTAACACAAAAATTACTAATTAGATGAATGAAAAAGGAAGAAGCAATGACATTAATCTCCTCATACATAAAAATTGGGAAACCAAAACTTACATCCATAATACAAATGAAGGCTTTGTATATGCGTTCTTTCCCAGTTCTTCAAGTCCATACAACATATACAAATTTCCCCCAAATTTCCCACAAATTTCTATCATACAAAAACCACCTCTACACATTAATTCTCACTTATTTTCTGTGATTTCTTGAAGCATTTCCACCACTTTTTTCATTTTTGGTCTCTTGGCTGGTGTGGTGTCTGTGCACATTAGAGCCACCTTTAGTCCTGCAAGCATTTCTTTTCTCCAACCAAACGAAACCGTGCTCAGCTTCGCGTCCAGTATCTGCTCAGGGGTTTCGCCTCTCGAGGGTGCACCCTGAACCCACTTCACCAAATCCACGCCCTCCCCAAACTCTTCGTCAACTGGGACCCGCGTCGTCAGTATCTCGAGTAAAACGACCCCGAAGCTGTACACGTTCCCTGGAGCCGTCACTTGCATTGTGTATGCATATTCTGGTTCAAAACAAAATGGTTTCAGAGACCAGATTCTTGAAATGGTGATCAGTTCATAACACAAAAGCAAATAAATCAAACAGATTTCAAGATTTTTGAAATGGTAATCACTTCATAACACCAAAAATAAGGAAACAGATTTTCTTTTGTTAGCGTCAGGGCCCGCTTGCGCGCACCTGCCAATCCGAGAGGGACCTAAGGATAACAGCCAAGAAAATCCCTGGTGGCTCTGAAGAGATTCAAACTACCGACCCATGGGAAGGAGCCTCAAGGCCCGGGTTTTATTTGTCAGTTGAGTTGGTTCTCAAAATTCGTGAAATGGTAACAATTACTTCATAACAGAAAAGTGAAGAAAAAGAATTCAAGATTCTTGAAATGGTATCAGTTCATAACAGAAAAGTAAAGCAACAGGTTTCAAGATTCTTTAAATGGTAATCAGTTAATAACACAAAAGTACAAGAAACAATGTTTCAAGATTCTTGAAATGGTATAGTAATCACTAATCAGTTCATAACTGAAAAGTAAAGAAACAAGATTTCAAGATTCTTTAAATTGTAATCAGTTTATATAAAACAAAAGTGAAGAATTAAACAGATTTCAAGATTCTTGAAAATGGTAATCAGTTCATTACAGAAAAGTAAAGAAAACAGGTTTCAAGATTCTTGAAATGGTAGTCATCTGTTAATAACACCAAGATAAAGAAACAAGATTTCAAGATTCTTGAAATGGTAGTAATCAGTTCATAACAGAAAAGCAAAGAAACAGGTTTTCAAGATTCTTGAAATGGAAGTCGGTTCGATTTGTACCTGGAGGAATGTAACCAAACGAGCCAGCAACGGCACTGATGCTAGCTGTGCCACGTGACGGATCCAAGAGCTTCGAGATCTCAACTTCACCCACCAAAGGCTTGAAATTGGAATCAAGGAAAACATTCCCAGAAGAAATATCGAGATGAATGATAGCCAGATGATGCAGAAAAGCCAACCCTTCTGCAACCCCAACAGCAATCGAAAGCCTCACCGGCCAGTCAGGTTTGTACACCGGTTCTTTGCTAGATTCATGAAGAAACTGAGCCAGCGTTCCATTGGGCAAAAACTGGTGCAACAAGAGAGCCACATCTTCATATATGGCAAAACCAATTGGTCTGATCAAGTTATCATGGCAAAGATTACTGAGTCTCTCAAGCTCTCGAATCATCTTGTTTTGTTGATGAAGTATCGTCTTGTCCACGGATTTAAGCCGTTTGACCGACAATGTCAATCCCGAAGGCATTTCTGCCTTGTAGATCGTACTAAACGTCCCGCTACTGATTTTGTTCGAATCTTTTAACGTTGCTTTCACAACAGCGTCAAAGTCTATAGCTTGTTTCAGATTCTCCACAAACACATTTCCAGCTATTATCAACGGCTTGTTATTATCATCGATTTCTTCATCTTCGTTCCCAACTGTTTTTGCCGCCTTTTCTTGCTTTTCTCTCATCATGAACAGAACAACAACCACGGTAACGGATATGAACACCAACAAACCCGAACCAATTACAGCCAACACGATTCTGTAAGAAACCTTGTGATGGAAGGTCTCGTTAGTATCATTTGAATTCCCGCATAAAGAATTCAACGGGTATCCGCAAAGACCTTCGTTCTTCCAAAAGCTCGAATTTGGGCTCTTTTGGAAAGGGGCAAAAGTAGGTATCGGACCAGTGAGGTGATTATTCGCAAAGTTTACATCGATCAAACTTAACATGCCCCTTAACGCCAAAGGGATGTTGCCAGTGAGTTGATTATTGGAAAAATCTAAAGATACCAACTTGTCAAGCTTTCCCAAATCAGGAGGCAATTGTCCATGAAGATGATTGAAGCTCAAATTCAAAGCTATCTGCAAGTTCTTGATTCGACCGATTTCTGGAGGGATTGTTCCTGTGAGATAATTACCACCCAACTGCAGTTCGAGCAGCTTCGCACAATTCCCAATCTCGTGAGGTATTTCCCCGATCAGCGAATTCTGTCCCAACAACAAGTATTGCAATCTTGATGAGTTACAAACACTTTGAGGTATGCTCCCATTGAATCTGTTGTTACTTAGATCAATCTTGTTAAGATTCTTGTTGCTAAGAAGTGAAGTTGGAATCTCTCCAAAAAGACTGTTCCCAGAAACAAGCAACTCTTGAAGATTGATCATTTGACCGAAAACCGGAGGTATGATCCCGCTAAATCCATTTGAAGCCAAATTCAAGAGAGTGAGGTTAGCACATTGAGCAAACTCCCAAACAATCTCACCAGAAAGATTGTTGTTATCTGCTTCAAAATAAGTGAGGCTGCTAAGATTACCAATTCCTCTTGGGATGTTTCCTATGAGATCATTGTCCCCAATTCTGATGCTAGAAAGATCTTTACAGTTTCCTATCGATTCGGGCAGACTACCACTAAGTTTGTTCTGAGTCAGAACCAAAGACTCTAACTTCCCCATAGCGAAAACACTCTTCGGGATCGATCCTTCAAGATAGTTAGAATGAAGGTTCAACAAATGAAGTTCTGATACCGAACCTAAAGTTTCGGGTATCTCACCACTTAACTCATTCTCATAAGCTGTGAACACCCTAAGCTTGGTCAAATTTCCCATCCAAATGGGTATACTTCCATTCAAATGATTGGTAAAGATTTGAAAATCTTGCAACTTTACAAGCCCTTGAAGCTCATTAGGTATTGATCCTATGAGTAAATTGTTTGAAAGGTTTAATGACTTCAGATTTCCGAGTTTGCCCAATTCAACGGGGATTGAACCATCAAACTTGTTGTAGGACAAATCAAGAACCTCAAGATCAGATAAGTTACCAAAAGATCGAGGAATTGATCCATGGAAGGTGTTAAAAGACAAATCAAGCCATTTCAAGGACTTGAGTTGAGAGATTAAAGTGAGGTTACCTTGAAGACTTAGATGTGAAAGAACAAGCTTTTCAACCAATGAATGATTGGAGTTGCAAGTAATGTGAGGCCAGAGGCAGTAATTTGAGGTGTTCTTGAGCCCATTATCGCCCCAATCCAGCAATCTAAGCTCCTTTCCAATGGCTAACAAAGTGATAAGATCGTCATCATCGCCATTGACGACTTGAGAACTCACAGGCTTCTGACAACATGAAAGAAACGCAATTGCCAGAATCAAGAACAAGAACAAATTCGCCATTTTTGTAAGGGGTGTTTCTTCCACAATCCACACCCACCGAAAAAATCGAGTTCTTTCCCTCTTTTCTTGAAAGATAATGCAAACCCCACTACTTTTTCAGAGAATTTTTATGGAATTATGCTTCGAACATGAGTGGGGAGCAGAGATTATACTTGAAAAGATACTAAATATTCACCACCCAGTAAAGCATTTTTCAACTTCTGGAGCAACTAATGGCTCAAAATCAAGAAAAAGCAAACAAACCCTTTATTTGAAATTGAAGGGTATCAAGGGTTTATGATCAAAAAGCAAAACCCCAGATGGATGAAGATCAAGAAGAGTTGAAGATGATGGGTATAGTTTGAGTGAAGAATAGCATAAAAAGCCATGAAAATGGGTGCAGACGCTACAACATAGACATAGTAACTTCTGCAGATACAAAATATATGAATACTATTCAATGGCTCTACACAAGGAAAGAGACGATAGCCCTCTTTGTTTTTGCTCATAAACACACAGACAGATAGAGAGAGAGAGAGAGAGAGATCACGACTCTCACGAGTCAAAAAGAGAGAGTATATAGGTCTTACTGTGTAATCTGTATATTCTTTATTTCCTTTTTTTTATATTTAAATATAATATTCTTTTTCTAAACGTTTTATTTCAAATACTTTTACGTCGGAAATAATAATAAAAATATATATTTTTTAAGTATTTATTTTCAGAGAATTGAAGAATTTTAGTACTTTTAATACATTCTTTAAAATTTCTCAAAAATAAAGAATTACAAATAATATTTACGAGTAATTTTTGTATTTTGAAAATATTAACGAAATCAAGATTGTCTATACTATATTATAAAGCATTTGACGAAAAATTTTAAAAACTATTTTTTATGCATAAAGTATTGTATATTGATGCATATTACTTAAAATTCGAGATTATAAGTAAATCGTGCATAAGTACAACTTATTAAAACTTAATGTTTGAATTCGTATAACTAACTATAGATAAATATAATCTAATATAGGATAAAGATTTAATTTTAAATATAAAATGTCTAAAATATAATTAGGATAGTCATTGAGTCTAACAAAGTATTTAATTATTATCTTTATAAAAATTATATTATTAAACCAAAAAATAAAAAAATACAGTGAAAACGAGAAATTCTAAATGGTTCGTTTGGTACTAATATCAATATTTTTTTCATTTTTTATGATATTTTCATATTTGTATTTTATTCAAAACTTTAAAACATTATCGTTTTCTCAAAACCACATAAAACTGTATTATAACATCGACTTAAACAAAAAAACAGAATGAAAACATTAAAATCAAGATGTATCTCGCTGCAATGTGCGAGTACCCTTCTAGTATTATTGAAATATTTGGTAGATTCAAGATCTTAATAAATATTATATAAAATAATAATACAATTAACTCGATTGGTGAAAAAAAATAAGCCCAGAAAAAAAAAGAACAATTTCTCTTACTCAACAATTGTTGTTGAAGAGTTCTTTAAATTTGCAGTTTTACAACCGTCTCTTTGCTACTTTCTCTATTTTGTAGTACCGTTAACAAAAGTGGGCTAAGATTTTTAAAATCTTACTTTTCCCCTATTTGAAAATCTGTTCGAGATACTTTTATCATTTGTCTCTTTTGACCTTTGGAGTCAAGCTCAAACCAATCAGGCATCACCCTTGTGGTTAACTTCGATTACTTTTTATAGAGTCTTAAAGATAACTATCTCCGGTGACAAATGTGAACCAATGACTTATACAGATGAGTCTTGTCAGAGAATAAAACATGTTTAAAACATGCATTTAAGGTGTTATAAGGTGTTTTTTTTTCTATGAAGTTATAATTATTGTTATATTTTCACATGTTTACTTGTGTTTTGTGGAATTTTAGATTTTAATAAAGAGAAAAAGGTTTTATGCATTCACAAAAATTTCAACAACAATCATTTAAAATTGTATGTCATGAACATGTTTTTTTTATATTTTAACAATAATTTTACGTTTAATTTAATTGTTTTTTTTTCTTAAAATACAATAAATAAATAGATTATATATCATCCATCATAAGGAATATACAAAAAATATTTTATTTTTTAAATTTGTAATTAATTGTCAACCAAAAGAAATTAACATGTTAAAGATAATAATATTAGAGTTTGTGATATTTTAAAAAGGGAAAGTTTAAAAAAACATAACGAACTATCTTATTTTAAATGATTAAGTTTCTGAACTATTTTTTGAATAAAAAAATATTAAACTTTCTCATTTTGAATAATTACGTCTCTAAACATTTGTTTTAAATAAATAAATTATTGAACTTCTAAAAATTTGTTACCTATTTTATTTTAAAAGCTACATTTAACTGACTAAAAAGGTTTTAGAGTATAAAAAAATCCACATCAGTTTTACCATTTCTAAACCTTACGCGATTAAAACCCTTTGCAAACAACGATATCATTCCCCGTTGCCCCAACGTTGTTTGTTCTCCATATCGCTTAAGACCTTGTTGGTCCTGTCATCGATCTCCTTCTTTTTGGTATATTTTTTATCCATCAAAAGATAATTGATTATAGGTAGCTTTTTGGTTACAAAAATATAAGTAACCAATTTTTTAGAAGTTCAATATTTTAATTTATTGAAAACAGATGTTCAAAGACTTAATAATAAAAAATGAAAAGGTTTAATTGTTTTTCATCCAAAATGAAAAGGTTTAACGATTTTTTCATGCAAAAACTAACAAGGACTTAATTGTTTAAAATGAGAAATTTTAATGGTTTTTTAATTTAAAAAAATAGTTTATAAACTTAATTATTCAAAATATGTTTATTGGTTTTTTGTGAAACTTTCTCTTTTAAAAACTATAACATTTGACTCGATATATATGTGTGTGTGTATATATATATATATATAGGGTTGGTTATTATACAACTCTTGATATTTGTGCAACTAATACAACTCAATCTCAACCGTTTCTTTCATTTGATTAATATGTGATTTAATAGAAGTTTTGATTGTTTTCTAATATAAAGTATTGATCATAATTAATAAACCATATTTATCTTCCATAAATATTCAAATCATTATAAATGAACTCTCATAATTTTTATAAATATTTCAATTTATTGGGTTGCATTGGTTGTACAAATGCGATGGGTTGTATTTGAAACAAACTATATATATATATATATATATATATATATATATACACGGTATATTTCAAATACAACCAATACAACTCAATTAATTGAGATATTTATGAAAATAATGAGAGTTCATTTATTATGATTTGAATATTTATAGAATATGAATATGGTTAATTACTTATGGTCAATACTTTATATTAGAAAACAATCAAAACTTTTATGAAATCACATATTCATCAAATTAAATGGACGGATGAGATTGAGTTGTATTGGTTGTAAAAATATAAAGGGTTGTATAATAACCAATATATATATATATGATAAGAATAAGTCAGCGATGAGTTTGTCATAGCTGTTAGGATTAGTTCAATAAAGCTCCACCTTTGTAGGAGCAGTAGCTGAGTTTGTTTTTATCTTCCAGATTGTTAGCAATTCACTTAGGAACTTTTGTTTTGTTTCTGTTTTGTACTGCTCTATTTAAAGAGCCAATTTCCTTTGAATAAACTATCAATTGAGAATTGATCAAACAAGAGTGTTGAGTACTTTTAACATTTGGTATCAGAGCTTGGTTAAGAGAGGACCGAGCAAGTACTCAAGAGTGTATACACGAGGGTTTGTGAGAGAGTGAAACACTTGGTGAGAAGAGAGAAAAGAGAGAAGAATTCCATGGGAGAGAACAATGGTGGAAAGGGATTCGTTGTGCCRGCTATTCCGAAATTTGACGGGCACTATGATCATTGGGCCAAATTGATGGAGAATTTCATCAGATCGAAAGAATATTGGGACCTGATTGAAAAYGATATTAACCCACATCAAGCAGGCGTACCGACTGAAGCACAAAAGAAGGAGATCGATGACCTAAAGCTGAGAGATATGAAGCTTAAGAACTTTCTCTATCAATCAATTGACAGAGATGTTCTTGACACTATTCTTAACACAGATACCAGCAAGCAAATTTGGGACAGCATGAAGCAGAAGTTTCAAGGATCCACTAAAGTCAAAAGAGCCCAATTGCAAGCACTACGTAAGGACTTTGAGGTTCTTAGCATGAAGGAAGGAGAATCAGTGAACARCTACTTTGCAAGAACGCTTGCGATAGCCAAAAAGATGAAAGCYTGTGGCGAAACTATTCAAGAGAATACAATCACTGAGAAAATTCTAAGGTCTATGACACAAAAATTCAACTATGTAGTGTGTTCCATTGAAGAGTCAAATAATTTGGACACACTTAYATTAGATGAATTACAAAGTAGTTTGTTGGTGCAAGAACAAAGGATGAGGGTTAATACAGAGGAAGAACAAGTGTTAAAGGTGTCAAGTGAAGAACAAGGAACCAGAGGTAGGGGTCACAGTGGTCCAAGAGGTGGCTTCAGAGGTAGCTACAGAGGTGGACGAGGCAGAGGAAGGAGCAACAGAGCTCAAATCGAATGTTACAAGTGTAACAAATTGGGACATTATCAGTTTGAATGTCCTGATTGGGAAAAGAATGCAAACTATGCTGAATTGGATGAGAAGGAGCCATTGCTACTCATGGCATTCGAAGGAAGACAAAGAGAAGGATTATGGTTSTTGGACTCGGGCTGCTCCAACCACATGACAGGTAACAAAGGTTGGTTCATAGATCTGGATGAGAATTTTGCGCATTCTGTGAAGCTGGGAAACAATACAATCATGCAAGTGAGAGGGAAAGGTACTGTTAAAATGGTTATTGAAGAAAAAATACACTTGGTAAGCGAAGTATACTACGTACCAGACCTCACTACAAACTTGTTGAGCGTTGGGCAGATGCAAGAGAAAAAAAGACTATCCATTCTATTTGAGAATGGAATCTGCAAATTATTTCTTCAAGGTTGGGGGCTAATTTTGCAATCAGAAATGACAGCAAACAGGTTGTTCGTGCTTATAGCTGATATGCCAACAGCTACAACCTGTTTGCAAAGTACAACTAATGATATTACAAGATTGTGGCATCAAAGGTACGGTCATCTTAACATCAAAAGTCTTAACA